AATGGTGCAGTGTGGTGTCTGGGTTTAAAGTCAAACTCTACCACAAACTAGTTCTGTGACTGAGTTGTTTACTTGACTTCTGGGACTTTGCAGATTTATAAACTCTAAGCACTGAAAAGATTATAGTGCTCACCCCAATGTCACCCTATATAATTCCAAATAAAACCAATCTAAACCCTAATATAAATGAGAATATTTAGCAAAATTTTGACTTTCATTATAGTCACTTAGACCTTTTTTATAAGTCATCGAATATTAATTTATTTATCTAAAAATTATTTTTTTTGTTTGGTTTTCCAACTTATCTTGGCCTATCTCTGGAACAATTCTGCATTCTTTAACTTCCTATAAGCCTCAAGTTTATAAGCTATAAAATGGGTGATGGAGTACACATACATCATCTTTAGGACAGTTCTTACACTTAATAAGCATTCAACTAATGTCAGAAATTAATATTTTGCCATTATTGCTGTCATCTTTATTGTTAATACTATCCTAAAGGATTGTTGCAAGGATTAATTTAAAAGATTTATGTAAACACCTAGCATGGTAGTCAGCACAATGTAGATAGTAAATAATTTTTATTTCCTTTCCTTCTATGTCCCTTCCTCTATTTTACCACAATCTTCCACACTTTATCATTCTCTGAGTATCACAGAGTTCAAATAAATATAATTTTAAAAGAACTTATAATTGCCTCTGAAGATAAAATATTAAGGACATACTAGATGTTTTGGGAGGCATATGTGATTCATATAATCAAAGGAAAGTGTAAGAGAAGATGCTCAAAGCAACTACTAATTGTCTCTCTCACATAAATCATTTTTAAATAACCTGTAGTAAAGACACTTCATTGACTCAGATTAAGTTATCCTAAAGAAGTAAAGATTCTGCCACATTTCAACCCTGAAAGTATGAAATCACAAAATATGGTTTTTCACTTCTAAAAAGACATACATTTTAAAAATCAGTTGAACATTATCACTACCCTTTGTTTTCATCTTGTGACAGTAAATTAATAATATGTAATTTCATTTTAGGGATTACCTGCAAGTCGCGTGAGGTATAGAGTAGACGATGTCCAGTTTCCTTACCCTGCCAGTATTTTTGATGTGGAAGAAGATTCTGGAAGAGTAATAACTCGAGTCAATCTCAATGAAGAACCAACAACAATTTTTAAGGTCAGTGGGTCATTTTCTCATGTGTCTACTTGACATTTAACTTTTTAAAAATAAATTTATTTATTTATTAATTGGCACATATTGATTGTACATATTTATGGGGTACAGAGCTATATTTCAATGCATGTATACAATGTCTCATAATCACATCAGGGTAATGGTAATTAGCATATTCATCATCACAGAAATTTACCATTTCTTTGTGATGAGAATGTTTGAGCTCCTCTCTTCTGGCCATTTGAAAACATACGATAAATTATTGCTAATTATAGATGCCTAGCCCTACTGTTCACCACAAGAACTTATTTTTTCTATCGAGCTGTAATTCTGTATGCATCAACTAACCTTTGCCTCTCCCTACTCC